TTAATTGTTGATGGTACTGATATTGAAAAACGTTTTGAAATAATTCTTAATTATATCAAGAGTAAGTGTTATTGATCCCAATTCACTTATTAAAGGTCTCTTGGAATTATTTGTAGATTATTGTACATCATCAACCAGTTGGTCTTCAACGAATTGGCGAAAACCAGCAAATAAAGATATATTAAAAGTGATATAAGAATTATTTTTCCAATGATTAAATTATTTTTTTAATATTTTAGATCGCTTTAATACTTATTTTTCTTGGATTAGGAAACCGCGAGATTTATTTTCACATGCATCAAATGGATAAAACATTGCTTCTTCGACTTCATCACCCAGGACGAGCATTACGACACTCGTAAACGATCGTATACGACGTCGTATCCGATCGTGTACGGTCGTATACGGTGTAAATTACGATCGTATACGACCGTATTTCGCCGTATTACTTGACGCCAGATTTACGACCGTATATCGTCGTGTCGTATACGACGATATACGACGTATATACGACCACCATAAACGATCGTACACAGTCGTATACTATGTGGATTGTCATCGTATTTTATTCAAAGTTTTGCTACTTATCCTCCCCCCTCCCAACTCTCCAAAGATGGAAAAATTAATCTTTGGGGTGTCCAGTCTGACTGGAGCTCCCAATTCTTATTTCTCATGAAGCTTTGATGATATATCATCGTACTGTTTCGATATATCATCAAAGCTGCATGAAAAACAAGAACTTGAACCACCAGCCAAATTGGACATCCCCATTCCATTACATTGATACTTTATGATATTATTTATCCTTTTAATAATCTAAAAATAAAAAATTAATTTTTTTAATCTAAAAAATAAAAGTTAAAATTGATCTAATCTAAAAACAAAAAAATAAAATTCATTTAATCTAAAAAATAAAATTTATTCAATCTAAAAAATAAAATTGAAACTCTATCTAATCTAAAAATAAAAATAAATTTATTTAATCTAAAAAATAAAAGTTAAAA